GATAGAGCAAAAGGCAAAGGGAACGCGCGTCTTCCACAAGTATAATGTAACAGTATTTGTTTCTAATCTTCTATTATATGTTGTATATACATATGAAATCAGTAAAAATAAAACAAACGATTATGATTTGACTTATTGTCAAAATTTTAAACTAGTCTAAAGTGATGCACAAGCACTCGCATATCAAATCTCATCACAAAGTTAAGGTTATCATGAGATTTTGACAAGGAACGTAAGTTAGTATCTGTGTATATGTGTAAAAGCATAATACTTTATTATAAATATTCTATTTTAAATCAGTAACTATATTTATTTATTTATAGGTGCTGTCAAATTATACAATGCCATGCTTTCAGAATCTCTCGTATCTACTTTAGAGCATGCTTGATAAAAGAAATACTTGTCTTTTAAGTAGCAATCAAAAATCATTTTTATTATTTTAAACGATAAAGACAATTTAAAAGAAGGAACAAATTTCTTAAACATAGCAAAATGAAAGCACTACTTAAAATATTATATTCACTTTGTTGGAGCAATGCATACTTGATACTGGGTATATGCATGGGCCTAAGTTTTAGTCTGTTTTTGATACCAATTGATGTTGACAAACAGCATGATATAGCGGAATCTTTTGATCATTCCTTAAATACTTTAGAAGACATAGATCCCTATGAACCGAGAATAAACACGGATAGTAAACCGCAACAGATACAGAAGGCAAGGAAAGCATTTGTGCGTCCTAGATATTACTCTACAGAACTTGGGATCAGAGAGAAGTTGTTTGTGGGAATTATAACAAGCCGTGAGCACTTGCATAGCAGGGATGTAGCGCTGAATAAAACGATCGCACATATAGTAGATAAAATTCGCTACTTTATATCCATACCAGAAGGGACCAAACCAAATGTCTCTTTCCCTGGAATAGTGGGATTTACTGACACAAGGAGCATCCTGAAGCCTTTCCATGCCCTGAAATATATCGTTGATAATTATTTAGAAAGTTATGATTATTATTTTCTGACTAAAGATGTAAATTACATAAATGCAAGAAGTCTAGTGGAGTTTGTAAATAAAATAACTGTGAGCCAGAACATTCACATGGGCATTCAAAGCGAAATCGATACCTACTGTTCTTTAGGTAAATGATATGGATTTATAATTCAATAAATTTAATTAGTCAATTAGTTAACTAAAATTAAAATTATTTTCAGAATCCGGTATACTTTTGAGCAATTCTGTTATACGAGAAATGAAAAACAATCTAGACTGGTGCGTTAAGAATGCATATTCGGATTCAGACGACGTTAATTTTGGTCGTTGTATTCTGCATTCCACTTCTATGCCTTGTACTAATCACATAGAGAGACGAAACTTGACGTTTGTACAGTTGAAATCCACATTTAATTTTGAGAAGGACTTCGCCCAGTTGACTGAGCAAAATGAATTTCAGAATTCAGTCTCTATATATCCTGTCTACGATCATAAGCTCATTTATAAATTTAACATGTATTTTACCGCAGTGAGTCTTCTGAAATATAGCCTTAGCTATAAGTATAAAGCATCTCCAGTTTATTGTATTTTCTTGGAAGAGGAAGTAATACAATTCAAAGGAATATTAAAAATATTAAAATTGTTATAAAAAATAAATATTTTTTAATAAGACTTTAAATTTATTTTTCGTTAAATTTATATAGAGCGTTTATAATTTATAAGAGTGCTTTATACTTTTAGCAAAGGATGAACATAAATTAAAGCATTTTAAAATATGATTTACATATCTAATATATATAGAATTTTAAAATATATGTAGCTTTATCATAATACATTACTTTCAGATAAATTCTATTAAAGTTCACAAACAGATTAGTGATATACGTAAAGTAATATCCGCGACTGCACATTTAGGCCCGCCAAATCAACGTAATATATCATGGCCCATTGGAAATCAACCTGGAAATCGACCTTTAGGACGTTTTGATGTTTTGCGCTGGTCATACTTCAATATGTCTCATGTCTTCTTTGAGACTGACTTCATTAACATTCAAGAATTAAAGGGCGATACAAAAACTGATATAGATAATGTAATAAATACAGCTGTGAACAATATTATAAGCAAATATGATAACAAACTAAGTTTCGTCAGATTGTTGAATGGCTACTTAAAATTCGACGCGTCCAGAGGAATGGATTATATACTCGACTTAGTATTTAACGAAGTAGCCACAAGTAAGGAAATAAGAAAGCGAATCGAAATCTGCAAGCCATTAGGAAAAGTAGAAATCATACCTGTACCCTATGTGACTGAAAATACAAGGATTAATATAATTATCACTATCGATCTGAGCAAAAAGCAAGATGCGGTAAATTTTATCGAACACTACTCACAAAATTGTATGGAAAAGAAATGCAAAACCTATCTTATGGTGGTTAGTTTAAGCACATTTAAAAATGTGCTGTTTTTCTGATATAGTGTTATATAATAATTTTAATACGTAATATTAAAATATTATACGTTTATAATTTTTATAGGTCCTCTTATATAATTCAGATTCACCATCGAAAGGCAAAGGTGATGTCTATCTCGATGTAAAAACGTATATATCAATGCTGAACGAGAAATACAAAAAGGACCAATCTAAAATTACTTGGCTTTCAATACGATTACCAGTTAACGTAACTTCCGTAGATTTGGACCCGATGTTAAAAATTGCCGTGACTGACTTATGCGCGAAAAAGTTTTCATCAGAAAGTCTGGTTCTTCTTGTAGAAACAGGAACGAAATTGAAAATAGATTATTTAAACAGAGTAAGTATGCGATATGCCTACACCAATATTAACATTATATATAATTATTTCGAATACAGTTAATTCATTATTATTCATCAGGTTCGAATGAACACTATTAATCGCTATCAAATATTCAGTCCGATCCCGTTCATTGAATATCATCCTGATATAATTTATGCGGACGAAGCAGCAGCTCATGACGAAGTGGACGTCAATAGCAATTATGGCAAATACGATGAGCAAAATTATAACAATATTGCATTTTACATTAAAGATTATAATGCAAGTACGCATTGTGTCTTCAATTCATTTCATAAAGTCCGAATATTTTGATATGAATAAAATTTGTTTTCGTGTTTCAGTGCGGCAAACGGTTGAGGCGAACATTCCGTTAGTGCGATCGGATAAGGATATTGCTACTCTGCTAAAACTTTCTAAACACAGCCCGGTAGCTTCTTTGTTTGAAATGTACGTGTCATTTAGCGATATGCATGTGTTTCGCGCGATAGAACCAACACTGAAGATAAAATACAAAGATGTCAATTGCGATGACGTTTCCAATGACAATATTTATAAAAATTGCCTTAAATTAAGGAACAATCATTTGGGTAAACGTAGTCAACTAGCTAGATTGATATTAGATTATCAGAGCTATCAAACATAAAGAAATGTAGATCGTAGTACGTAATCTTTACAAAGAGGAATACTATTTATTTATTGTAATATTTACGTTATTCAGGGTAAACGCCTTAGATCTTTGTAAAGCGAAAAGTAGATGTTTACAATTATCTACGATCTAGAACAAAAATATTCAATACGTCTGTTAGATATATTTTTTATATAGATTTATATATACATGTCAATTATGAGCATTTTATTTATTCATGTATTTTATTCTAAGAAAAAAATAAATATCTATAATTATTTATACATGTTAGTTTATATTTTTTTTGAATGGTAGAGTTAAGATTTCATTCTTTAGAATTGTAAAAAAATAATTGCACCTATTACAATTATGATACAATAGCGAAGTATGTATAAAAATTTTAAGAAATTCTGATAAGTTATAAAATTGTCGATATATTATTATTAACAAAGAGATGTCATAGAACAAAAATTATACATTCGATTTCCTTGGAACACTTTTTTTTTAAGTCTACTAACGTATCACTGTTAATCACTATCCGATTCTGATTCAGATAATTGCAGATCATCATTTAAGATATCGTCCGTCACGAACAATGTAGGTGAGGCAGTTGTACCATTCAAATTACCTAAAAAAATAACATTTTTTTGATATAATTTTTTAAACTAATAGTTTAATTGAAGATAATTTTAATAAATTTATTTTTAAAAATAAAAGAAAAATTATAATATATTTTCTATTCACCATTAATCCCTGTTGACACTGAGATTACATTTTCTGTTTCGTAATCGCTACTTGAGCTATCAGAACTCGAACTGCTCGAACTGGAATCGCTCTCTAAGGTTGTCGATTTTGCAGTTGATATTGGAATTGACTGAGGAATTACGGTCTGTGTAGAAGAAGAACCAGGCATCACTGATGCTAACAATGCAAAATCATCATTGTCGGATCCGATCATTGGCAGACTGGCTAAGGTCGGTTGTCCACTCGACGATTGCATAGGTGAAGAGCTATTATTCAAATCAATAATATTTACAACATTAATTTCATTAATTTCATGGTTAAATTTCGAGTATCCAAGTTGACAAAATAGTTAATCTGTTCGCCGAGCAATTGAATGTGATTGAGTTCTTATAAATCCAGTCGATTACACACATTGTGTTCACTAGGAATTATGCATTCAGGAATTATGCTCAAATAACTTTGGAAATCAATCATGTTAACTTTTTGTCCTAGATCGGAAATATAAAAAATGAACATACTTTTTTAATATACTGTGATTGTGTTCCAAAATTTACTGTCAATACTGAAAATCTAGTACACATAAACTGATTTTTAGTACTAGCAGTAAGTTTTGAAATACAGTTCGTGTACATATATACAAAAATATATAGAAAAATGTTCACTTTTCATGTTACTGTTCTATATAGAAAAAGTTATATGATCAATCTTCTGATGTACTTTTTTGTTATAATATATATAACGCAAATCTATAGCCTAAAATTATCTGGACATAATTCCTAAACATAGCCCAGACAAAATTGATCAATAAAGTCATTGACTGCATTCAGAAGAAAAATCTGATCAGTGAGTGTTCAGTGATGTTTTAATATGATTAGTTCTTGCCTTTAGTTTTTCGTTAAATTTAAGTATAAGAACTAATTATATTAAAGAATTACTGAGCGTTCACTGATCAGATTTTTCTTCTAAATGAAGCCAATCAAGCAGCTTCAGTCATGTATATATGATTTGATGATCATTATATGAAAAAAATGAAAAAAAGAATTTAAACACTAATTAAAATGTAACAAACTGTATGGAAACTGTATGGACTCTTTTTTAAATTTTAATACAACAAAGTAATTATATAATATTCTGTTCTTAAATAATAATTATCCTGCGGAATTTATCTTTGAGACAATTAACACACACTTTTCTATAAACGTTCTTTGGAGTAAAATAATATGAATAATGAGATAGAAAGCGAGTCCCTTGATTTGTATTACTATATATTCCGTGAATTGCAAAATAAATTTTATATTAATAAGAGTGTGAATGTTAAATTGTTCTTAATTCAAATAAATTGAGCAGGTTCATTAAAGTTTAGAAAGATATATTCTCCGAAAATTTTTCCAATAAAAATGTAACATATAAAATTTTGTGTAAAGATTACGATGCATTAGTAGGACTATTATAGAAAGAAAATTAATAACTAAAATATTTGAACATCACAATCAAATAAAACACAACTGATGCGAATTTATGAAGTTAATAATTGTATCCAAAGGTTTTCGACATATTCTCGGTTCTTTGAGATGAACTTCTCTTTTATCTAATATAATACTCAATTATTGCTCTCATATCCATTATAATATTACATAATTTATCGAACTAAATGCCACTTCAGTTTTATAAATTTATCAGTAACTCAATCTTAATGGACTACTGAACTAATTTTCGAAATCTCTGTAATTTCATTGCTGAAAAAGACTTAAAAAAAACGAATCGAAATGTATATTTTGGAATATTGGTGACATATCACCTTTCTTGTAAATAAAAAGTTTTTATATCATAATTTGCATCTTTCTAATCGCATTGTCTCATTAGTCTTGATTTTCTTTATTTATTGAGTTTAAGCAATAAATGAACAAATAAATTTTATTACATTCTGTTTTGATATTCACGCACAAGCTTCTATTTTCTTTTCATATAATGAATAATAAAATGGAATAAAGTTTACAATGTGTGAGCATCTGAAACGAGAGAACTTACAACTCGAATTTTTCCTTCAATATATTTTACAAACTTATTTGACGATACATACTTATTGACAGATGTATTAGGTGGACTTGGTTTATCGTACGGCGATGTCCGTGGCGGACTCTGTTTGGGATGTAATTGCAGCGAAGGTTCTCTCTTCTTCCCACTAATAACTTTGGTCCTCCCGTTCGCTCTGCCATATGTGGGACTCTTTTTGACTTCGACGGGCATGGAATTGTTATTGCTATTACGTTTGGGTTCCGCTCTACAAGAAAGGACAGGAGTCATGAGATTTGATAGCGCATAAAATGCGATGCAACAAATAACAAATCGTGATAAACGTACCGTGTCTTCTTAACTTGAATATTCGCAGTTAATTTTTCCAATGTAATTTCTCCAGTAGCCTTATCAAAGATTAGTACATACTCCTTATTATAAGGTCTCTGAGAACCTTTAAACACAGTGTGAGGGGTGCCAGCTCCATCTAAATGTGGCACAGTGACTGTTATTGTATTGTCTGAACCTACATCAACTCGGGCTACCTTGGAATCGTCGACACTCGCGGGTTTGAAATCGTCTAGAAAAATCGCAATCAGATTCTGCGATCAGAAAGGAGAATAAAGATAAAAATTCAAGATGAAAAATTAATTGTTAAGAGAGATACAAAATAGAGTTGATGATATGCTTCGAAGACTTAAATCAAGATATATTCATATTTTCATTTATAATATAAATCTTTATTTTTCTAAAAGCTTTTTCAAATGTTTCATCTAACAATTTCTATGTGGTACATATCTGCTATTCAGATGTTCTACTGGTGTTAATGTTATATTATAACTAAAGCAAGATACATTATAACTGAAAAAAATCTGTTGGATATGTGGATAAAAAATAAAAATACAATTCTTTAGATTTAGATTTTAAACACAAAAGTATTTCAATATTGAAAGTATTTTATTTTTTAAATGATAGATAAAAAAAATAATATGTAATAACGCTTGACACAAATTAGTCAATGCTCAGAATTACATATCTTAGAGTATGTTCCATTTCACGCATGATATGCATAATACATCATATATTCTTAACATTCTGTGAACAACAGTGATAAATGATGCATCATACGTGAATCACTCAAACTGACGGAATACACTTAGGCGACACAGATCTAATAATGCTAAACATAAAAATTTGATTTATAAAGGAGACATTTTAAAATTACAGAGGATGATGCACACATAAATACTCGCTACATATTAAGATAATTTTAATACACACACACACACACACACACACACACACACACACACACACACACACACATAAATAAAAAGTGTTTTATATATATATATATATTGGATTGTCCGGAAAGTTCGTGCCGATGTTGAAAGAAAATTGAAACATAGAAAATTTAAATTTTAGTATACATTCATTAAATTATATAAATTAGTCGGCACGAACTTTCAGGACAACCCAATATATATATATATATATACATATATATAAAACACTTCTTTTATCTAAGATGGAGATAATAACACATATAATATTTTAATAATCTAGATAAAGATAAGATGAAGCTATTCATCTAAATAATCACTAGAATAATTTTATATAGATGACATTAAAAACTGTTCATTAAATTATCACTTCAGATAGCAACTGATGTTATGTATTGTATTTGTCATTTTAATGTCAAAGATATAATACATTCCAGAATTTGTTTTTTTTTTTTATAAACACAAAAAATATTACTATAATGATTTAATAAACACAAAACCTTGTAGCTAAATTTTTTTATCATCTTGTATCTATTTTAAGAAATTACAAAAAGTGTACTAATTCAACTATTAATAGATAAAACTTATAGCTTAGCTGATATTACATTTGTCGTACCACAAATTTTCAAGGATGTCAATTGGCTGCAGGATAGAGAGATTCTTGGACCTCTCTATCCTATGATCAATCAATAGATTCGAAAAATTTATTGTACGACAGAAACGAACAAATGTAATATTGGCCGAAGGTTATATATAATACAATCCAGATAGCTAAGCGTAATATAGCACATTGTGCATTACATATTATATTGTTATATATTTGCTAACATCAAAATAAGACACATGAAATACAACAACGTTACTGCTTATATATGTAAACAGTTGTCGAAATTTCTAGAGCGAACTGTGAACATTGGTGACATTGCAATATGACAGCAACATGTTAGCAACGAATAATTAATTGTTTTATCTTGAACATCATGATGAAAACATGACATTGCAATATGACAGCAACAGAACATATATAATGATTACCACTGGTTGTTACAAATGTCTTTAGGCTATAATATAATATAAAGTGTTTTAATTGCAACTCGTAGCTAACAAAATACTGATAATATGAAATGTTACATGTTTTCAAGTGGTGATCAAAGATATGCTGACATGTTGCCATTACTTTGTCATTACAAGAATTCGAATTTCACTGAGTTCAACACGATAGACATAATGCTGTCTCATCTTCATGAGTTCATCGAAATTGATTGCTATGTCAGCAAACACACTGCATTTGGCTATCTGGAAAGGTATGGATAGATAGAAAACCAATAAAGAAAACAAATCGAAGAAAATCAATTGTAAATAAAGTTATTTCTTGATATGTAAGCTGAAGAATATTCTGGATTGGATGAAGGATTAGATGTATTCTGGGAATACTGGCACCTCCTTGGCTGGGATCTTCTTGACTGAGACTCTTGTTTTGCTTCAAGCTGCTGTCTCTAGCTCAGGTTCTAACATCGTCGAAAGATTCGAGAGTGCTGCTGTATTTCTACCTCGAGAAATTGGATTTACTTACATTTTAGGGTGTGAAATTTGGAACTGTTGCTCGTGAAACTAGGCCCCAGCTTGAGCTCACGGACTTCGGGTCCCAAACCAAGTCGCTCGACCATGCTGACACCTTGCATTATCTCGAATTTTTTCTTCGTAACTCTTTCTTTTCTTTATTTTTGCAAACAAATGTGTAAATCGGAGATAACCACACGTGGAGCACTGATATTATTCTCTTTCGTCCTACGTTATTGTACAGCTGTGTATTCTGGCAACTGCTGGAGATGGCAAGATAAATATGGTACGAGATTTTCTTCCAGCGCCATTGGACTCTCTCTCGGTTCTCCGGAAGTGACGAACTGACGAATACTGACGAGGTATGCAAGCCGAATTTGGCCGAATCATGACGGACATACGAACACTACGAACACTAGAAGTGAACACTAAGGTCTGCTGTGTATGAAGTGATTTAATTATTAGACCTTGTGCACAATGGACGAAACCTTGGTAAAAATTTTTCTCATAATTTTTATAAAATTATATAGAAATTCTAAAAAATTATATGAAAAATTCTGAGAAAATTTTCATCAGGAATATTAGAAAAAGGAATAAATATCTATTAAATATTAAAAATACAAAATTTAGGAAATGAATATAAAAATGTAATACACAATAGATATATAAATAACATATATCATATATGTATATGGCATATGAATTGTATTATTTGTATCCATTGCGTTTTGTATGTTTAATTTCTATTCTCATTTTTTATTTTTCTAATATTTAACATTTATTATTTCTAATATTCAAGTTTGGAAAGTTACTTATAATTCCGTTATCATTATTATTAATTTTTTTCGATAAGAGTCTATCAAACAAATTTGCATAACCGCAACATATGGTATGCATAAGAAAATTATCCTTCACATTATATTATAAATACGTGCGTCTAAAAAAATAAAAGTGGATAAGTTTCTTTATGTAGCTGAATAAATAAATAAAACAAATAATGTTTGATTTATAATCTCAGCAAACGAAAATAGATTAAAATGGATTGAATTTTTTTTCCATCCGAATGCGTATTTAAATAACGTATTTAAATACGTATTTAAATACTTTTTTTTGGATTTAACTGGATTCAATTGGATTCAATTAGATTCAATTGGATGCAATTGGATTAAAAAACTGCATTTCCTATTCAAAATTTTGAATTGAACAGTATTTACAATTGTGTTTGTGTGCACAGAAAAAGCTAATATTATTTTTAGATTGAAAGGCATAGAGATATGCTCCATGTAATTCCTATAAAAATGAATAAAAATGCATTCAGCACATTGAAAAGCATTCATTTTAACATTCGTGAATCAATATTTCTGAAAATCTGAATTCATTTCAATCCAATTCTCCATTCTCGTTTGTTAGGATGATTTTATGCTTCAAATTCCTGCAGTTTTGGACTAATAACTTTTAAACAATACGCATAAGCGCTTTTTTAGTGCTTCGTGTTACTTAGGAAAGTTGGCACTTCTCCAAATAAACTTTTTTACACTTTTCTGAATATTTATTATTGTTTTTGTTTATTATTGTTTATTATTATAGCATATAATATATATAAAATATTTGATTTAATTTTTAACGTTATTTCCTCATCAAATTTACAAATAGATATAAAAACACAATTTTACATAAGAATCAAGACAAACAAAA